TGCTTCTACTACTACTGCTACTGCTACGTCGTGCCTAAAAACTGACAGGCCACCGGTCGAACGGCCAGGCTTGAGTTTCTGTAGCAATGAGCCGGCACGACGGCCACCACCGTCAGAATCAAGTCCAATGCTAGCACAACAACCGGAAGCAACTCACCATTACCGCACAACTAAATTAATCTCTTCAACATATTCAACACGGCCAGGCAACCCATACCAACTGCTGCACATTGTACCCCCTACACGGAAGGCTGCCTGATTGTCCCCCCTACACGGAAGGCTGCCTGCTCGGAGCTGGCCTGCAAAGCTGCAGATTGGCGCTGGACACCCTGCGCCTCCACTCAGCCACCAGGGTGCTCTGCCTTCTGCCATCTTCTCTAGTTGGCCCTGCGCCTCAGACCTCTCCTGCGTGAAGACCTGATGCTGGCGCCGGAGAGCTGCCTCATTCTCGATTGAGTCAAGGTGTTTTGGTGTCTGCGGCATATTATATAGCGTTTTGCAAGTGACATCGTTTCACCTAGACGAAGCTTTGCCTCAGTCCTCCCGGCTAAGAAAAGAGCACAGAAGGATCGATGCCCCATGGCCAAGAACGGGCTGGGGCACCAGGCCTTCATTTCCAGGACCGCGCGCTCGGCCTCGGTAGCCACGATGGCTCGAGGAACCTACCGTGGCCTACAGGCTGTCGCACCGAAACCGAGTCCTTTCGAGCGTGCCAAGGCACCCCAAGCACTCACCCGCACACGAGATTTTAATCATTGTGCCCACATCGTCTTTGCCTCCTCGGCTCGCTGGCGATCTCGTAGATCCAAGCCTGTACTCTGCAAAGGCAGCTACCCCCCCCCCTGCCCCGCCAACACCGACACGGACGACATTTAGCTGCTGTTGTTGGTATGGCATTACATTACATGCAACTTGCAGCGTTGCGCCGCTGTCCTCCAGACCGCAGGGCAGCCAGTTCATGCTCGGCATTGATGCACCTGCACATTGGTTTGTTGTTCCGCGTGCGGTTATGCAGTAGATTCTGTCAAGCGTTTATTGTGTGAAGTCTGTGGAATAATTGCAAGCAACCTTTCACGGCTCACAGCTGCAGTGCCATCTGCCTGGCCTGTCTCGCCAAGCCTAGCAAAGTGGTTGTTTTGATCTTTTGCCTCGTCTGATTTGACTCTACTGGGTGTTTGTACACACAAGTGCTGGTCTGTCGGTCGGAATGCGGAGTTTCAGTTCGGTGTCGCCAGAGCTACTCCAGCTTTGTCTTGGAGACAGTTGGACTTCTGCTTCACGAGGTTTCAGCATTAATGAATCGTAGGTCAGTTGGGGTTCGGTTGGGCCGTGTCGCTAGAAGGCACTCGGGAACTCAGGAGCAGAGTTCAACACCAACTGGACGCCCAAAAGGGTGCGTTCCTTCCTGCCCCGCTTAGGGAAAGCCTGTAACACTGAACAGGATCAAAGCCGCTGGGCACGCTGCTCGTGATGTAACGCGCGACCAAGCATCAAACAAGACTCCAACCTTGCAGAATTGCCAATTGAATTCTCACAGTGCAAGAGAAGGTTGAGTGCTGCCGAATGCTCTCTAATGTCGTTGTCCTGGTGGAAAATAGGAGTAGTGTGTGATGCAGTCAGGAAAGCAGCAGGCCATCTTCGACCTTCGAGTAGTCAAGCGCAATTCTCAGTGCCAGACCCGATCTCTGGCCTGTGCCGTGCCGTGTGGGCTTTCAATCAGAACAGCCAACCGCGAGCTTCCGTTCTGGAATTCCGTGAAAAATGATCCTATTGTCCTATTGACTAGGCCGGCTGCAGTTGCAGGGCCATTGCCTTCATCCGCGTGTTGAGCTGCTTTGTTTTCGCCCTCAGGCGTAGCCTGATGCAGCGCTGAAGCGTAGCGGTGCAGCAGCACTGGCTGGTGTGGCAAAGGCTGTGCTGCGGAGACTCGAAGGCACAATTTGCTGGGCCGCAAACTCGAAGTCTGTATCCTTCTTAATGCTCGAGTGCAGTTGAGCGAAGCGGGCCTCACAGGCACGAGCGACATTGAAAACCAATGGATCCAAGACCTGAAAGGCACTTAAAGGCACAAGACATGTGCCAGGAAGCTTTCGGGGTGTTGCCTTAGCCCCCCCCTAACGCGCCACTGGCTTGTCTTCGACATGTTCAACCATCTGTGGTGCTTGACACGTCTGCTGGTGCTCAATGATACATTGGCTGTTAGCTGGAGGAATGTCGCTGATGTCTGCTGCTTCAGCATCTGCCAAGATTCGGATCACCTCACGCCTCCTTGAGCATCTCCCGGGCTCAGCTTCTATTTCCCGCTTGATGCAAAAACAAACTCTGAAGATGAAAGTCATCACAAGACAAAGCCCCTCATTGCGCTGAAGGGCCTGCAGCGGCTTGCATCTCGCTCGGTTTGCACAGCAGCATACACGACAGAGCTGGTAGAGCCTCCTCTTCCTGCAACTGAAGCCTTAAGCCTGCCGAGCAGGGATTCGATACTCAGAGCAAGTGCAGAGGACGCAGCGATTATCATTCTTCATGGTTTGCGCCCAGCTCTGGCAGTCCAACATGCCTCGGTTCTCGCCGGTCATGGCTCGCAGGCGGCTTTCCAAGCATTGGGAATATGCCTCAGGCAGAACATGTCGAAGTTTGGTTGCTTTCGGTCAGAATTATAAGCTAACATTTTACAATGCAGTCCAGGCCACAAGAAGTGCCTTCTTCTCGGAGGGAGGAGAACCTGACGGGAAGAAGGGTTAAGGGGTCCGACTCCGGTCCCAAGAAGGCCCTGGGGTCAAGGCCAGACTGACTTGATGCCACACTGGTCGTGAGCGGCTCCTCCAAGGAAGGATAATGCCCCCATCGTGACAGTGCAGCAATCGGCTGCCCTCTTCTGCCAGGTCCTGTCCAGTCACAGGCTCCAGGCTCTGGAACTCTCGATGGAGGGCCTGATGGAAACATCTGCTAAGCCGCTGTGGTCATTGTCAGATCTCTCGCGTGCGTCTGTTACCTGCCCCAGGCTCTTTTCACCGACATGCTAATTAATTGCAGCTCTGCTGCCCGGCGTATTGGCGAGGTGAACGTCCAGTCTTCGCCTGTGCCTGATCTTCACTTGTGCCAATCCTAAGTACTTTGATTCGGGTCTACTACTTAACTAGGGGATTTTGGAAGGTCCGAGTTATTTGCATCTCAACCAGATTGTACACCCTGGCACATGGAGAACGCGCAAAGCTTGGCACCAGCACCGAATCATGAAGGAAGACGACTCTCAGGATTCTCACGCTTCACTGCACTTCTGAATTATGCTGTCCCACACGCAAGCGTTCTTTGCAACACGCATGCCTGCTTACTATTTCAACGGCAAAGATTGAGAAAACACTTCCACGTGAATGCCGTCCGTAAAGGCTATCCACGCAGCATCCAAACTGTGCCACCATCCATGTCACTGTGCGAGCTGCACATGACAGCAAAAGAGCATGTCAAGCCATCTGTGCTGTGGCGCGCCTACAGTCGTTTCGTCCAAGCTTTGGGTGGACCTCGCGTGTGGCGAAAAATCTTCGCTGCAGCCCAGCTGTCCAGCTGTTTGGCTCTCACCGCATGCCTTGACCCAGGCTTGAAATCTGCGAGGCGGCGGGAACCACCTGCGAAAAGACTTACGAGTGTGCACAAGAAAGGCCAGCCGAACCCTACCTGGGCTACAGCAAGATGGCGGCCGACCATGACAAGCCCTTATCACTTGTCTCTGCTTGCGCCAATGCCTGGAGTCCGCTCCATCGCATCCAATTTTGCCTTGGACTGGGGGATGTATTGTGCTTGCACAGCGAGTATCGTCCGATTGGCTTGCACAGATTCTAGACTGGTTGGGCAGCTGGGACGACAACCTGTGAGAACATCTGCGCGAGCATTCTAGGCTTGCCCGCCTTAGTATATGAGGCAGGAACAGAAACTATCAACAACATCTTTCCTTCACACACAGAACATGTGTCTGAGTGCTGACATGCCATGTTGACAACAAGCAGATGCTGTGTGGCCAGCTGCCTGTGAAAATCTGGTCAGACCATCTGTGCGTGTGCGCGGGGTCGAAAAAACTAAGATCTGCAGCAAACTGTTACCACGAAGATTGGCTGTGAGGAGCTCTCCAACGCAGCTTGTCTCCTTCCTTGAAGTGGCTACACTGTGTCCAATGAACCCAGTTGCAAGCACGTTCGGAGCATAACAGGTCTTCCAACACAGGTCTTCCAACGCATGACAGCTGCCACGCCACAATAGGAGCGGAACAACTTGCAAAGCGATTTTTCTGGCTTTCTGGAGCTCCCGAAGCCACATCCAGGCCTACGCACCCATCATGGTGTCTGCCTGCTTTGGGTTCAAGGGCTCTGTCCGTTTTGATCCTGGGGAGGCAACTACGGTAGGATGGGCAGACACCACAAGAGGCACCCATTTGCAGCGCTAGGTGGTGCGAAAATGCAATAGAAACGGTTTGAAGCCTACTGGTATTGAGTGTGGCACTGGCGCAGTCATTGAGCAACAAGACTTTGTCCGGGAACTTTGTTTACAAGCTTCGGGGTAAGAATACTACGTGAGAAGCAGCTCATCTGCAGGCCATCCAGCTGACCGGTCATCCTGCTGCAAGTCTTCGAACAGCCGCAAATAAGTAACACAGTGATCGGGATGAGTTTCTCCCAGCCTCGAAGCTATCGCTTCTTCTCCTTCTTGGCCTGAGCGTAACGGGAGAACATACTGGGATCGTCTGCGCCGCTGTACAGAGGAAAATTGCTTTTTCCAACAACCTCGTCGATCTGTCGAGGAAGGAAATAAGCCCCGAACCTTCTTGTCTTTGTCCTTTTCCTTAGCTTTCTCCACGTCTTTCTCCTTCTCCTTCGCCTACTTCGACGAGCTGGACAGAGAAATACATTCCACACAGATCACAAAAGCCAGCTGGCGTCAGTACCTTGTCTTTCTTGTCCTTCTTCCCCTTTTTGTCCTTCTCTTTGTCCTTGTCTTTTTCCTTTTCTTTCTCTTTCTCTTTCGCCTTCTCCTTCTCCTTCTTTTCCTTCTCCTTCTTGTCCTTCTTCTCTTTTTTGTCTATCTCCTCCCGATGACTATGGGGGAAGCAGCGATACTATGCATGACCCCGTCCCTGCAGGGCCTTCCGCTTTCGGCTCCGACTGCGGCTGCTGCGACCTGCTCTGCTGAAACTGTGCCCTCCTGTTTCTGCCAACCAACATTGACGACTAAGTAAGAGTATCACGCAAGAGTTTCAGAAGACTGCCGAATTGAGCTGGAAACACCAGCGAAGATCATCCCGTAGCCGAACAGTGATCTACGACGATCCAGGAGAAAGCCTAGAACCAGCAATCTTGTGAGTTCTGGGGCGCATGCTGTGTCTGCGGCTGTCACTTCGACCTCAGCCGATTGATGCGCTGCAGCCGTCTCCTACTCCGGGCACAGATTCGAGTTGATTTTGTGGAGTGGTCTCAACATATGGCGTCGCAATCTACGAGACAATGAGAGTCGATGCTACGTCGCCTCCTGGCGTGCTTCTTCAGTGCAAGAAAGCACGGTCGGAACAAAGGAGCCAGCGTAATGCATTTTCCTCTTCTTGCGAAATGCGTCTCGAGACGACGTCTCATCCCTGCAAAGGCTCCCTCAGGTCTGTGCTGCGGCTGTAGCTGTAGCTATAGCTTCGGCTTGAAGGCCTCAGTCCCCAACAAGGCAAAGACAGGCGAGCTGCACTGGATACGACTCTTCTCTTGAGTCTTGGCTGCTCACCGGCCGTTGGCTGGAGCTGGTGCACCTGGGAGGGAAGGTGGGAAGAGCTCGGATCCAGAGAGGCTTCCATACCGAGCATCCCGGCCATATGGACCTGGTCTTCTTGCAGCTAGCACAGTTTGCACTTAGCTGTTTCTACGTGAGAATCTGCATCTTCCGAGTGATCCAATCAAGCAGCTCTTAAGTGGGATTCTGATAGCCAGCTTGTACATGGACTAGCAGGTAGCTCGAAGGCATGGCTCCAGGGAGCCTCCAGCAGCTGGCGGCGCATAGGGACCTGCCAGATCTGGCGGAAGCGCTGGGGAAATCAATTCTTGCCAGCGTGGGAAAGAGTCACAGTGATGACGTCTTAAAACTCGGTCTTTGCCACATGCGTGCGTGTCCTCGCTCGCTCGTCAAGTCTGCGGCTTATCACCACATCTTCTGCTGCGTCCTATCTAGCCGGGCAAAGGAAAGTCCTTGAAAGCGTTGCGGTCGATGAAGCCAGGCATTGGAATAGCGGGGCAGCGGCTGCAAAGGGCCAGCTGCTCACCGCCCAATGGAAAATTGGGGCAACGCTTTTCGTGCCCTGAGCAACTTTCAGCACGTGGTTAGGACTTCAGCTGCACTTCAGCCGTCGGCCCCTCCAACGCCCGAACCGTGGCCCTTGTGTGTCAGGCGAAGGTCGGCATGGGCTTGTACTTAATCTTTGTTGGGTCTCTCACTCCTGTTCTCTGGAAGCGATCTTCCTCATAGTCGCTGTAGCCGCCCTCAAAGAATACAACCTGAAGGAAGTTACTTGCATCACGAGCTGTAGTAGCTAGAGAGCCCTTCTTAAGCTAACAGCCCAGCAACTTGAGAGTCACCTTCGTAGGCGATGATGTGAGTGGCGATGCGATCCAGGAACCAGCGATCGTGGCTTACGCAGAGGACGGTGCCTGCGAAATTCTCGATGGCCGTCTCTAGCGCCCTCAAGGTTTCCACGTCCAGATCGTTCGATGGCTCATCCAACATTAAGCAGTTGCCACCCAGTCGCAGTGTTCGAGCGAGCTGCAGACGATTTCGCTCCCCACCACTGAGGGATGAGACCGTGCGCTGCTGGATCTTCCCCCTGAAATTGAACCAGGAGCAGTACGCCCGGCTGTTCACCTCCCGGCCGCCAATATCGATGGCATCCAAGCCATCCGTGAGCTCCTCGAAGACGGTCGCATCACCATCCAGATCATCGCGCATTTGTTCAACATACATGGGTGCCACAGTCTCTCCGATCAGCAGCTCACCACCGTCAGGCTGCTCCTCGAGAAAACAGCAGGACAACCGGAGACCAGTTTGGTTCAGGAGAAGTCAAACGAAGCATTGCCCAGCTGATTATGTTCCTGCCTTGCCCATGATCATCTTGAAGAGTGTGGTCTTGCCTGCACCATTGGGACCGATGATACCAACCACAGCACCTGGCGGTATCCTGAGTTGCAGGTGCGCGGTGACTTGGGTTATGGTTGACCCGAGAGCGCACGACGTGCCACTGCCGAGGTGCTCGAAGCTGGCTTCGTTGATTAGGAGCCGGTCGCCGTAGCCCTTCCAGGACTCAAAGGTCCAGCAAGAAATTCAGAATGCATCCGGTCCTTTGAAAGGTTCTTGGCGGTGATCACCGGCTCGTTGGCCTTCTCAGCACAGGACCCACAAAGTGTCAGAAAGCCGGGTACAGACAAATGCTCAGCTCGTCTACACTGTTGCCGTCGGGCGTCTAAGCGGGGACCGGGAGTGATCACGATCGAGTCGAGCTCACTGCTCCGGTTGAAGGCACTCGCCTCAGCTTGACGCGACAAGATTGTTTCTGTGGCTGCAGGACGCGGTGATCAGAAAGAATATTGATGCCCGTGTCTGCGAGCACAATCCAACACTGGCATCAAGATGCAAGTGAACTATACACCCAACGCGCAATCACGCAACCCAAACCCTAACCCATAACTTGAGCTCACAATGGGTTGTTGCCTGCTGCTCCAGATCTTCGAATCTTCCTGGGCAAAGCGACTGGGTTCAATGAACGTCCCCGGCAGGCTGGAGAAAACGCGCGGCATTGTGCAACCTTTGATCAAGATTCGCTGGCGAGCCTTTCCCTTTTTCTGCCTGTCAGATGCAACTGTCAAACATGACTACGAGTCTTGCTGCACGACGATTCCCCACACGCGCAAGTATTCCAAGATGCGGAATCAGCAATGCATGACCGACAAACCAGCTGTTATCCTGCCTTCCGCTTCGTCGCGCATTGATGAACTCTAGCTCCTCAAGGCCGCGAAAATGAGCAATTTGCGATCGAAATGAAGGGCTAGCATCGTCCCAATCCGATGGGAGCCTTGGCCATCTGGCTTTCCAGTGTGGCCTTCCGCTTCTGCTCGGATTCCAGCCGTTTCGCCTGGCATCGGGAAGTCTGCTTCACGCCTACCCCTTCCCGATTCTGCACGGGGCACGTGTAAACGTCTATACTGTTCATCAAACGACTTTGCTGGCGGCTGCCTTGTGCTCCAGCCATCCAGAGTAGTTTCCCTGGAACGGAATTCCCTTTCCCTGATCCAATTCGAGAATCCTCGGCTCAGACCACCGTTCTGGTTGGCAGATTTCCGCTCCATTATTCTGATATCGCATTGGGTCCCAGCGGCCACCCAGCAACGTTGTCCAGGAAATACCGGTCGTGCGTGATGGCGACGACGGTCCCCTGCCAAAGCAGCTGCTTCTAGTCGCATAGATCTCGGGCCCATGTGTGTTGGATGGAGCCGGCAACAGTTCCCGTCAGTCAACACATGCAGCGGTGGGAATGCGACAAAGCCCGATGAGATGTGTCCTGCGTGGGCCATGCACACCACTTTCCAGGCCAGTGATGTGTAAATGCATACCTTACACCTACATACGTTGGCTGGGTTCGGAGGTGCAAATCTCCCTTTTCCCTCTAACCCCCAAAAAGAGTAGCCGCCCCACCCCCCTTTGGCCGTCGAGGAAGCACTGAGCAAAAATCACGGCGTCTGCGATGGCTGTGCTGGTTTCTGCTGAAATAAGATCCCAGTGTACAACACCTTGCCACTACAGCTGCGCATGCAGGAAACTGGTTTCCTTGCCACGTGTGGGGTCGGTGGCGCTTTTAAATCGGGCAGCGCCCACCCCTGGGCCATCGCCTTGTTGCGTAGCCCAGCGGCGCACAGCTTGCAAGCCTTTCTTTTGCAAACAGGGCGGAGACGACCCTGCATCATCGGATCTCCCTTTGTTCACTGTGGACCATGCGGGACCTCGCCCGGAGCCAAACACTGAAAATGCTCTCTGGCCATGCCGCACGGAATGGCGAGTTTCGGCGCACCCGGAACCTTGCTATAGGCCGAACGGTTTTGCCGCCGACCCTTCATCATCGGACCCCCGTTGCTTCTTGGGTGCCTTCACAGGGTTTTAGTGTTTCCAGACAGGCCATGCAAGGAAAGCACGTTGCACGCCGAGTGCGCCGCACCGTTCCGTTGACCGGGACGGCGCTCGCGCTCCGCTCGCCATCCGAGATGTCCTTGCACACCGCCACGTCTATACGGCATTGCCCGCCCTGGGCGCAGCCCCTAAATAGGATGGGCAGGTAGGCAAGCAGATAGATAAATACAGGCAAATAGATCGATGGGTGGGTGGGGTTGGGGTCGGGATTGTGGTGGGTGGGTGGGTGGGTGGGTAAGCAGGTAAGCGTAGGTAAATAGGTAGGGTAGGTAGGTCGGTCGGTAGGTAGCCAGGTCGGTAGGCAGGCAGGTTGGTGAGCAGGTAGGAGGGTGTTCACATCGCAACCACTACGTTGTACATACAGTTCTATATACACATGTATATCTCTAGCTAGCTGCTGTAGATCTCCTGTTTGCTCATTCAATCATTCATTCATTTATTCATTTATTCATTCATTCATTTATTCACTCAGTCAGCCAGTCGGTCATTCGTTCATTCATGCATCCATCCCATTCCATTCCCTTCCCTTCCCTCCTTCACACCTATTCATTCATTCATTCTCTCATCCCTCCGTCCATCCTTTTGCCTCCAGCCTGGCTAGGATGAACCTACGATGCAGTCTGATCCATTCATTCATTCGTTCCTTCGATTGTTGATCCGTCATCACAATTGGCGACGCACAGTCGACAGCAAGGCACGATGCAAAAGACCATGAGGCTCGGCCACTCTGCGGCGAAGTCACTGGGCATGTGTCGCGCAGACACATAAGCACAAGGAGGACTGGGGCATGCAGCACGCCAATTGAAGGTCAGCATGCCCGACAGGCCGTAGCGATCCGTAGGGCGTGTGTTCCTGTGGTCCCGAGTGGTCAGCCGACAGCCGTCGCACTTATACGCTCATGGCCAAGCGCAACCAGATTCCGAGAATGACATCAACAGACCTAGGATGCCTAATTGGTTAAGATCATGCCTTCATCTTCGTGCCGCGCGCAAATCACCGCTGCGTCGGGCCGGCCGGGCTGCGGGCACGAGTCTCTTTCCCGGAAAACACAAAGGCTTGTCGGCCTGTCCCTCTTGCAAGATTTTCGGGAGGCTACGCCCAACAAAAGTGTTCGTTGTGTCGTGCGCCATCCGCAGAACCAGCAGGCAGTCCGCAAAAAGTCGTGACAAGTTCAGCGCATCGAAAATGTCGACTTTAAACTCATGCTCGGCTCATGCTGATCCCGCTGGCTGCTTTGTCTCTCGACTAATCATGACCAATCACACGAGACCGGGTCTTCGCAGCTGCCTGGAACTCTGCCAGGAAGCGCTCCAGCCAAGCGACGCTTTGCGCGTCTAAATGGTTCGTGGGCTCGTCGAGCATGAGGATGTCGGGATTCGACCTTTCGGCATCGCAATTTCGTGGTGCACTCAAGCTGGCTAGCCTCTGAGCCACAGACAAGAGCAGGCGGCAAATCGCCACACGGCGAAGCTCTCCTCCACTCAGCGTTGCGATCTTCGCATCTCGCGGGGGGCAGTTCAGCGCAGCCATGGCCTAAACAGAGAAAGAAAAGAAGTCATCAATACTCAGAAGTAGGTTCCAAGGGCAAGGTGCACTCGTGCCTCATCAAGCTTCTGATCTATTTCCCAACCGTTGCAGGCGTCGATCTTGGACTGGATGGTTTCCATCTTTTGCATGAGGGCATCGACGTCAGCATCGGGATCCGTCATCTGCATGCTCACATCCTCGAACTCCTTGACCATGGCCTTTATGTGGTCTACCGCCGGCTCCAAGTTTGCAATCACTGTCTCTTCTTTGAGAACAGGTTCCTGAGCCAAGTAGCCTACCTGTATAGCCTCATCACGCTCAAGCTTGCCAAGGAATTCGTCGTCCTCACCTGCCAAGATTCGCATCACCGTGCTCTTTCCTGCCCCGTTCTTGCCCAGAATGCCGATCTTCGCGCCCATGTACATGCCCAGCGAGACATCTTTCAAGATGTAACTCCCATCTAGGGACTTCTTGTCCACGTTGCTCATGGAGAGGATAATGTCACGTGTCTCCTGGTCGTAAGCATCCGGAGCAGCACTGTCTGACTTTGGTATTGGAATGCCGGACGTTTTCCCTCCCTTCTTCTGCGATTTCCTTTGCTGGCAAGCCGGCGCTGAAAGCAGACGGTTTTTTAAGCTTTTCTATCAGCAGTTCAAGCAGAAGCTTCAAGCACCTCCAAAAAGCCCAGTCCCACTTGCAAGCGAAACTCTTGCTCTTCGCTTGCCGCTGTGTTCGCTGACCACGCCGCGCAAAGGCCCGGGCCTGCAGCCACCCGGCTACGGCGGCTACCACTAGCTGCATTCAGTGCTGCTGAAACACCCCCGCAGCAGCGCCCAAGGCAGCCAGTGCTGGGACCGCGCCGATCCTGGAAGTCAGAGAATGGTTTCTTCCCGTCTTCACTCTGAAGGCATGAAGCTTACTCGCGAACAGTCTGCTGCACCGTTCGCTTACTTCAATGCAACGTGCTTGCTCGACCCATCCAGCGACCAGAGTGTCCAGGGAAACGAAACTGTGTACGATCGCCGCCTGTGCCTGCAGACACAGCACCCATGCTCCGAGCGGGTCCTTCCGCCAGCCTCGGCGCACCTTTGGGCAAGAACGAAGTGCCAAAACAGAATGAACTTCTTCTCTTTTTTGGCGGACATCCACTGTCCCTTTCCAGAGCCTGCTGAGCCTCAGCTCACTGCTCGGTGCGCTGCCGGCCGTACGCGGCTGCGGTGCCGGTACAACGAAGGCAAAGGCCGTAGCCGCCGTGGCCGCCATGGCGCGCTCGAGAGCAAGGGGGAGTTTTCTCTCGAACTTCAGAAGTGTTGTGACAATAGGGGCTTCAATTCTCTTCGACACGTACGAGTATCAACCACAGTGCAGACTGCATGGCGCCCTGCCTGGATAGCCCGGAGGCCCATAGTAACCAGGTGGTGCATGCGGATATCCTGTGCCACATCAGCTTCACGGCTTCACACGCAGTAGCCCACAGTTGCTCTGGGGGGTACAGGTTGCCAGTTGCCACAACATCTGGAAAGGCGCGACCCATTACTGCTCTGAAGCCCCGAAGCTCTGTGGAGCGATTGTCTGCCTGGAGGTGGCACCATGTGAGGCGGCGGGTAGCCATGCCTCTTTCCAGGCAAGGGCCGACTCGCAGCTGCACCAAGTTACACGCATTTCCACATCAACTTTGCTTAGGCGACAGTTTCGAGAGGCAGATCCGGAACATAAAATTATATAAAATTACAGTCTCGGTTCCATGCGGGCCAAAAGGTGGCGGCGCTCCATGCGGCCTCGCAGCGACAAGTCCAAAACAAGACGATCCTCAAATTCAGGGCCACTGCCGTCCCTTGGAGCTTTGACCCTGACGGAAATGCGAAGGGATGCCCCGGCGGCCCGTGTGGCCTGAGCTCCACTGATGCGGCGCTGGACTCGAACTTTAGGTGCTGGTGTGGCTTTAACTTGCTGCGCGAGCCCAGGATTGGTTCTCACTGGCCGAGCTTTGATGTCCGAGAAGCCTGGTCCCTTACGAAACAAAGAACCATGGCGCAGAACATGCAGAATGCCGTACATTCCAGCTGTTCGTGTCTCTGATTCGGTTTTTATACCACTCATCTAATCCACTATTCTGGTAGATAGGTCCCATAAACAAATGCTCGAGGGCTCGCACGGGTAGCCGAAGGGCGGCACATGCCCTGGAAATGGCACCTCGGTTTGTTTCCGTGCCATGCCATGACAACCTCTGACATCCTCTGACTGCAACCGCCTTCTGAGCCCACTGCTCCGGGAGGAGGCATGTGGACCGGCATTGGCCTGACGGACAAAGGTGCTGTCATGCCACGTCACGCCATGTCACGCCTCTATGAAAGGACCACGGGTATTACACAGCCACATACTCTGCTCATCTCAGCTGCCAACGGTGGCGGAGCTGCCTTCAGGGGGAACCGTCTCGTAACTCATGACCTTCTGCTCTTTACACTCTTTTTTGCACGCCTCCAATAATACCCGGAAACTGCTCCAGAACACAAACAGAAAGTACTCACACCCTGAAACATTCTCTGCATCTTGCTGCTGCTGCCACTCCCCTCTCTAACCTGCCAGAATGAATGCACGTCTACGTGTTGCACGGCAGCGGCTGTCACAAGACTGCACGCCGGCGAACCTATACTGGCTGGGGGAATGGAAGATTGCCCGACTGTGCCCGACTGCTCCTTGTAGTGATGTGGCTCCCCTTGAAGCTGTTGCACCATGCTGTGTGATGTGGCTATCTGCAATATGTGGCAGGAATAAAAGGTATTCCGTTACCAAGAATGCGACAACATTCTCGACAGCAAGGGTGCGAGTGTAGGGGCTCTTTGTGTTTTATCCCCATCTCACAGCAGCGCATCTCTCAAATGGAGCCGGCCCTGCTATGGTTGCACACTCTCGTGGCTCCACATGCCCACGTGTCTCGCTCGATTGCGGCCCCCGAGGCAAACAAAAAAGAACAGGGAACTTCAAGTTCCATGTTGTTTATTGTAAGTGACCGCTGTCTCGCATTTTGCAAACGCCCCTGACACCCTGATGTCTGCCCCAGCAGGCCAGGGCGCGACACGTCCTAGCAAAAGCAGCAAGACATGCGCCGTCAAAGAGTCGACGGCTCCTTCGTCCGAAGCGCAATGTCGACTTCCAAGCAGGTTCATGAGGAATATGTAGGAATACTGCCTAATCCTTATGAGGCATGCCTAATTACATGTGGCCAGAGAACCTGAACCAGAGATGTTATACAGTTTGTTGTTCAGCAATCCATAGCCCAAAACGGCACGTGTAGCATTGCATCGTCGCTCATGAATTCAAGAGCTGCAGTAGCGCTAGGATTGGAATCTGACCTGTTGCCTCTCCCATTGCCTGAATCATGCTCAAACCGCCCGTTTCTCGCCCCCAACCTTCGCCTCACGGATCCGGGAGAGCACCACAGAGGAGGGATTTCGAGTGCCCCGAAGGTCCTGGAGCAAGGCCCAAACTCTTTTCGCGCCATGCCTGCATGTGGCAACCGGGACCAAACCGCACTGAGGACCAATCCCCCTTGCCAAGTACCAGGGCAATGACGTAGGGCGGACAGGCCTTGCTGCAGAAGTCAAGGAAACGGTGACAGGCAAAGAAACTCTTGGGGACGGGCCCGGAGTTGTGCTTCTGCGCCTGACGCACCGGCGGTCTTCAGCTTTGGCAGATGCTCACAACCGGACAATCAGGACAGGCCCGCTCTCATCTAGATCGTTGTATTCAACAAAAGCATCGATGTCAGTCGCCTCGTGAACATGACGGTTGTCTTATGGAAACCGCGACACATCAAGCTGGATCTTCCATCTGCTGGGGCTGCGTGAAGGTCATCACCGAGAGCCGCTCACTGGGCATGGATGGCATCATCCCCATAGAGGCAAGGTCTGCCCGACGGGAGCCAATGCATTGCCAATGCAGAAAGGTGTGAGATCTGATGAAACGTGCCGGAGGTGCTGATGCTTCCAGTTCCACCGGCCCTGACATCCTTTATTTTTGCCTCAGCCGCCCAATCACTGTCTAATCTCGCGTGCCGTACTAAGCCAAGCTTCATCAAAAACCGTGTGTATTGAGCTGTTCGGCCTATGAGCTTAGCTCGGGCGGAGATAGAGTCAATCGGAAGCACGCCTTTCCATCACATGCCATGGCCGCAAATCTTGAGTGCTGCGCCAGGAGGGCAGCTGAAGGATCGAAAGCACCTGTGATCTGACTGAGCTTGTGAGAACTGACGTCGCAACAAGTAGGCTGGCAAAGGAAAGGCCGCTTCGCCAAACGATCAATGTCAACGGAGCCCAAACTCGACGAGAAAGCTTAGGGACCCTCCCAGCTGCATCATCAGGTTTCATGTCATACATGCCACAATGCCTATCACATCGCCGCTGCTCAGGACAGTCCGCTTCACGGTGGGCGAACAGCTCCGGAGCGCTTGTGCCTTTGTCCAGACAAGTGCAGCCAACCAAGGATGCTCAAGCAGGGAACATGGGATATTGGCTACCAAGTGCCCAGCGGCTACTTCGTTTACACCGTTTGCCTTGATGTAGCCATTTACCTCTGAGCCTGAGCAATTGATTGGCCATTGAGGGTTGCGGAGGCACGACTGAAAGTGACAAAGTCCGACACTGCTTGGCAAGCCCATGGGCCGCGACCTCGAGCATGATAAAGACGAGTAGAAGTGCCGCCATCAATGCTTGCGAATCTGAGAACCGGACGCCGTTCGGCCACGCTGCGGCTTGTCTTCCACTCGCGCATCACGGATGCGGACCTCAGCGGCTTTGTAGCGAAAACTTAATTACACTGAATGCGTGGCGTGTTCAAAGTTTCAGCAGCTGTAGCCAGCACATCGCGACAGTAAGGCTAGCACCAGCACAGCTGCTGACGGGTTCCGAGCCTTTCAAGCACGCATCGATCTCGCTTGTGCCTTTCTCCGCGCAGCATGAGGACATGACAGAGTTAAGGTCGCCCCTGGTAAGGACGCGCTTCTGCACCTCTTCAAGTCGTGACGAAAGCCCACTGTAACTCTGAGACTCTGCATTGCAAGAATTTCAACTGGCCTCTGGGGGGCATTCTCGCAAATCTTGCGCAGCACGTTCCTAGTCAGCGGATGCCAGCAATCGCTTGGAAAAGGTGTAGTGTAAGGCAGCAGCATCCACTTTGTTGTGCCGGAGAAACCTCGGTTTTAACACCCCACAAAGATTTTCAGGATCTTCCAGGCACGCTTGCTTGCTGAGGGCCGCGCTCTTCCACTTCCTCTGCTGTGGGCGGCTTCTCCTTCACAGGCATGACAAGCGCTACAGTAGCAGCTGCCAACTCCTAGAGCAAGGCCAACAAGTTATCACACAAGCAAATGAGCAGGAGTTGCTGCAGACCAGATCTCTGCTCCCGTAAAGGAAAACGGTCCACAGGGAAACACACACACACACAAAATGCTGAAACTGTTCCTTCGTTTGTTGTGGGGGAAGACAGCACGGCATGCAAGATAGATCATACAAGTGACATCGTTTTTTTCATGTTTCTCTACACCTGGCCAAGAACGAGTGAGGCCATGACGCGCTTGCTGCATACGTTCATGCCGTGTATTGTTATGTGCTTTCTTCGCCAGCGTTTGTTCGTGTTCTAGTCTAGTCCAGGCTTTTAAACAACCGACTTCTCCTGCAATTTGTCCGTCGGCATTCTCCGCCAGTCGCTCGACTCTGCCCCCCCCTCGCCCCCACCCTCAACTCTCGTGGTTCAGACTTTGGTCACACTCACGCGCAGACACATCAATAAACATAATAATGCCGTTTGTCACACTAGAACGCATCCCGGTCTGATTACTGAACATGATGACAATACGATGCAGTATCGAGCGAGCGCACCTCATCCGAAGAATCCTCCGAATCACGAGGCATTGTCACCTGCGAAATCTGCGCCTGACATCACAACACACTCTGTCATATGCGTAACACCCATCAAAAAGTCTGTTGGTGCATAGGCGCGCACACAGCCGGTGTGTTCGGTTCGACGATTCGAACCTATTTGGTGGCAACCGATGCACTCCAAGACCCCTGCTGCATTGCGCAGATCGAAGGCCCCCCCGTCAACATGCAAGTGGCTGGCCCAAAGCAGTCGGCAAGGCTTGAACCAAGTGGTCATCGAAAGAGCAAAGAAACAATGGCTGCTGGGAATGCATCCCACCTACATTACCACTCGAAACTCACGCATGCAGGGTGCCCAAGTGTGCCCATCGAGAACAAAGGAGGCGACGGCCAGGAGACCGGTCGACCTCTGAAGGGCTTGGCTGGTTCTTGAGTTGCTCTTGCCAGGTCGGGTGGTCCTTCTCTGTCTTGTTCTTGTAATTTTTTCTATACTCACCATTTTCTGCCCTTCGGTTTCGGTCACAACCCAGGTCACTTTTGCCCCGGTTTCCACTCTGCCTGGATCCTGCCGCAACTTTTTGGGCGCACCTTCTTGCAGCTGACACTGAGCTGTGCGATTGTCAGTCTTGCGCTGCGCCGCTACACCACGCACGCGGCATCTGCCGATACGGCATGCCTGCATGTGCGGCCGCCGGAACCGAACAATCGGCTTCGTCGAGCACGTACCAGGCAAACGCAAGAGCAAACGCAATGGCCACAAACTGGGCGCACTTGCAGCCGAAACGCTGCGTGCTTTGATGGCATCAGTAGCTCCTAACAGTCCTAACGATGGCGGCATGGGATACACGCTGAATGGTTCGCTTGGCACCGCCGATAACCAGGCACCGGCTTCTGGCCCGCCCGCGAGCGCTGGAAGCTGCAGAACCGGCAGCAGCACGAACCGCCCCGAAGAAGAGGACAACCTACTGTACCGAGTCCACTCTCGCACCTTGTGCTCCCATCGGTCCGTCCGCCGTGCGCGCAAAGCGCCGCTGCCGGCCCGCACAGGGTGAAGACCTGCTCGTGCTGCTGAATGACGAAAAATGCACTTTCACGGCAGCGGGCACGTTGGCTTGTGCGCAGAGTCGCGCCACGCGGGTGGGCAGAACCCGCACACGCCGCGGTGGTCACCGAGCTGGTCGAGCTGCCCCCGACCGTTGCATCTGCGCGGCGAGAGCGGGGGTGGGAGCCGCAAGCAGCGGACAGGCAGCGGTGAAAGGCCGAACCGACCCCAAAAGGAGTCTATACTGGAGCCTTTCGGGGGCTCCTATACTAGAGCCCTTTTGAACACACAGGTTCGGGCGAAGGCAAAGACGTCAAGACCGGAGGCATGCTTGACCCCAGTGTGGACGCTGAAACGGTTGATGTTTGGATATGTTTGCATGCATGCCATGCCCGGCCCGGAAATGCTTGACCCGTGTGGCGATTGATGTTTGGATGCATCTGCTTAACCGCCGTGTGGACGCAGTGAGATGTGCACTCCCTTCCTTGACGCGAGGCAGACCGTCCCCTGGCACGAAAAGTTGAAATTGCCCAAGCCCCTTTAAAAATGCAAAAAGTAAGACCTTCTTCTTTGCTTTCCACGTCGATTGCTGCCAAAGACGGATGCAGAAGAACGCGAAACAGCACCCTGGGTATGGCAACGTCGTTCTACATGGGCGTGAATGGGCGTGACATCGAAAACACGGGCGGCAAAAAGCCATGAAGTCTGGGATAACCACGGATAACCACAGCAGCTCACGAGACGCGGGTGTGAGGTCAGAAAATGTCACAAAGGTGCATCTCGTACGTACGCTTGCCGCAGGCGTGGGCAGTGAGTCGCTGCCAGCCCTTGAACGCCGAACGGTCCCCCAAGCCCCCCGTATGGGAATCCGCACGGGGTGCGCAGTCGGGGCATCAAAGCAGGAGTCACAGAGGCGGCGGTGACTCGAGCGAATTCCTCGGTGGGAACAGGCCCGCATGACATGTCGCCTGTGGTTTTCCGGATACATCAGTGGAAACTTCTGTGCTCATTCATTTATGGTTGCTGTTCTCGTTTTCAGTTTGGAGTTGGCTCAAGTGCTGCAAGACCTTCATTGTAGAGCTTCCCAATGTCCGGATGGCCGACGCTCTTCGTGTTGAGGATTCATGCTTGCGCTCCTCGTTGTTGGTATTTTTTGAACTTATTCGGTCTGAGTCGGTTGTCCCAACTGTGTGGCGTACTGCCATTGTTGCACCTGTTCGCAAAGGTGGTTCTGCTGATCAGTTCACGAACTATCGGCCAATCAGCTTGCTGTGTGGAGATTTAGAAAGCCCGCGTGCCTTAGCTTCCTGCGGAACCGCAGTGTTGGGAAACAACCTATCGCAGTAAACTAAAATCCTACTGCAAACCCAGCTGCCCCGGTCAAAGGACCCATCAAAAGTAAAAAACTCTAGGAGCTGCGCCCTGAAGCATTCATGCCCCGCGTCTACTCATGTAGCGGCCGAGGCACCCCGAAAGGTTTTCGCTGCAAGATCGGGGGCCTCAGCTAACCCCGAAACAATATGCCTCAAAGCCTCAACCCTTGCTGTTTTAATTCCATTGCGTCTACGTGTTGAAACCTTTGAACGTATTTACGAAAACGACTGGCTTCAACCAAGTTTTGATCCTGAGCGCTTCACATTGCTCTGGCAACTTGTGTGTGAAAACCAGAAGGTGTGTTGTTTTCTCTAACAACGCACGAGCTCTATGCTTTGCGTGCCAGTTTGCGCACGCCATTTTTCATGAGGGACGCTTGGTTTTTTTTTTTCGGCGCACCTTTTT